CCACCTAGGGTCTTCATACTGAGCTACATCCTCATGGCTTTTATTATTATTTCAATTTTATTATTTTTTTTCAGTTTTATTGTTTGAGACAAGGCCTTTCTATGTAGTTCAGGTTAGCCTTGAACTGTGTAGCTCATGCTGTCCTCCAACTCATGACCTTGAGCTTGTGCCTTAGCCTCCCAAGTGTTGGACTCCAGATGTGTGCCACCACTTTGAAGATGTCATCTGTTCAGTATTCTTTGTTGATGACAGTAGAGCCATTTATGTGTAATGTTTCCTTTTTCTTTGGCTGTTTTTAAAATTTTATGGTTTGGCTGTTAATTTTTTTCCTTTTCTTGAGGTAGGATCTTGCTGTGAAGTTCAGAGTGAACTTGAACTCACTGTGCAGTCTTCACTGACCTTGATTGTGCAACAGTCTTCCTACCTTAGCCGCCTGAGTACTGGAATTATAGACATATAACCATGCTCAGCTGAATGTTGGTGTTTAGTAGTTTGATTTTGATGCAGCCTAGGTAGTTTTCTTTGTATTCTTTTCCTTGGAGTCTGGTTATTCCCCTTACTCAACCAAAATTGCTTCTGCAAGTGTGTTTTTGTTGTTGGGATTTTGAGGGCAGCTTCATTTTAATTTTCTTTCCTTTTTTTTTTTTTTTTTTTGCAGAACCGGGGATTGAACTCAGATCCTTGCGTTTGCCAGTTAAGCGCTTATCCTACTGAGCCATCTCCCCGGCCCCTAATTTTCTTATTTGGGGGGGGAATTCCATTTGTACTCACTTTAGATCTTTTGAGATTTCTGGTCGTCATGCTATTAAATAAGGTTGCAAATGTAGTGTGTTCATGTGTAATTGCAAATTCAGTTTATTAAATTTAACTGATAAGAGGTCGTTGGTAACTTTAGCCATAGATAGTGGAAAATGAAATCCATACAAGAAAGAAAATATGGAGGAGTGAATAGTAATTGGATGAAGTAGAGATACATATTGCTATAGTTCTGTCTTTATCTTTATTTCTCATAATTGTGTTTGTAACCTAAAATTGTTTTTTAGACCTTCATAATAAACAGCATCCCTTTCGTCCTTTTAAAAGTACTGTGATACATGAACCACTTAATGGTATGATTTCTGGGGCATAACTGCCGCAATAAACTATTTGTGCTTTTTACCCAAGGAAGTTTTCATTAAATGATACTATAGAGGATGAAATATAATCTGGAAGGGCTTTGTTATATTTAGCCTGTATTCTAATCACTGCTTTAGAATAAAGATTTTTTTTTTTTTTTTTTTTTTGTAACCAGGGATTGAACTCAGGCCCTTGTGCTTGCCAGGGAAGCACTTATTCCACTGAGCCATCTCCCTGCTCCCCTAGGATAAAGATTGATGAAATGCTTAAAATTCAAGAAACCAATTTGAATTAACTTAACCCATAATTCCAAGATGAATGCAGATTTAAGAGTAAACACAAGCATTTTGGAATTTGGAATTTCATAGACATCAGAATACCTGGTTATTGCTAGTGCTTAAATCCTTGGATTTGTTATTGAAATATTGTTTCTTTTTCCTCTAGTTCAAAGCAGTATTCAACGATTTCAAGAGAAGTTCTTTATTTTTGCTTTGACACCACAACAAGTTAGAGAGATATGCATATCAAGGTAAGGGGAACCTTTTTAAAGATTGACTTATTTCTGTGTGAATGTTATGTATTAGTAGAAAGCTAAGGACAGGAAGGCTAAACAGCTGAAACTTATTTCTCAAAATTGTGGAAGCTTCTGATCAAGATCAAGGGGGGACAGAATTTTTTTCTCTTGAGATCTTTCTTCAGCTTGCACATTTTTTTATTTTCTCGTGTGGCCTTTCCTCTACACAGGTACATTTCTGGTGTCTTGCTCCTCTTTATGATACCAGCAGTAAACATAATTTCCTTTTTAAAGGTCCTGTACACAAATGTAGTGACATTGGGGATTAAGGTTTCAGTATAATGTTTGGTCAGTTGGACTATTTCTCAAGGGGAGAATATTTTGACAAATACTCTGTGTACTAGAAAAATTTAACCTTTGAATAAAATCTTAGAATATCTTTTTAAATTATTTTAATCACATTTCTATATAGATACATTCATTGATTGATTTTTTTCCCCCTTATTGCTAGAGATAAACCTAGGACCTTAAATCATTCATGTTTGCTAGGCAAATGGTTTACCACTCATGTGTATCCTCAGCACAGCAATAACATTTTATTTTTTATTTATTTCTTTATTTTAGGGAAGGGTCTACAGGGTGTTCAGGTCTTACTACTAGATTGGAATTGTAGTGATCCCCCTGTGTACAGCTTCCCAAGAGCTGGGATTACAAGTGTGCACCACCACGCCCAGTCTCAATTGCCATCTCAGCGTACCCTGGGGGCCAGGGATCGAACCCCTGGCCCCTGCATCTGCTTGCAGGCGCTTTAATCTGCTGAGCTGTTTGGCTGGCCCTTAACAATAACATTTTTTTTCTTTAAATTCTTTTTTATTATTTGAATTTGTTACAACTTTTTCTCATTTTGGGATTTTTAAAATAGTTTTTGTATTCATTATTACTATTTTTTGAACTGTTTCCCATTTTATTTTATTTTTTTCCATAATTTTATTGAGAAACAAATAGCAATGAGACAGTTTCAAAACAAATTGGTAGGACAGTTACAATAATTAACACATTGCATACATTTCTTCCTAGTGGTTAATTGCTGTACAAGATGTGGACTTGATATCCTATTTACAAACAACATTAGAACAAATTCCTCTATTCATTAAGAGACTGTAAATATGTATCCTGACTACTTTGAATACACAGATACAAAATGGACATTCATCTGTGTCCCATCTTTTTGTTAAATTCCATCATTTAAATATTATAGGTGTGTAAACTCAGCAAAATATTCTAAAAGAGTTTGGTAGTGCATAATAGTATTGGGTCTTCCACTTCACTGGCAATGTCAGAAATTGTTGACCTGAGTCTCCTACAGCTCAACATAACACCATGGCTTTACTTCCTACACTTCATTTTTATATTTGTCTGCTGGATGGTTAAGACCAAGGTAAAGCAGGACCTATGCAACAAGAGTTGTAGCTTTTGTGTCTGATAAGGGCAGTGAAATCCCCTCAGGATTTATCCTGAGAGCCTGTACCTCAGATTGTAGAACCTTTGTCAGTGTCAGCCATGTGGATGAGTCACGGCCATTGCAACAATAACATTTTTTAAAAAAATTTTATTTATTTGCGTGTGTGTGTGTGTGTGTGTGTGTGTGTGTGGCCAGCTCAGCCTACCAGGGGGCGGGGCTGGCTGGCGTGTGGTGCTGGGGGATTGAACCGCGGTCCCTGTGCTTTGCTAAGCTTGTTCTAAGTAGGTGCTTTAGACCACTGAGCCATCTCACCAACCCAACAGTAACATTTTAAATTATAAATTTATTTTAAATATAGCAACATAGATAAAAATATTATAGGCAGTCAGACAGGGCCAGGCCCTGGAAGGAGACAGCACAGAAGATGAGATGCCTTACAACTGTGGGAGGGGCGATTGCTCCTGCTGTGAACCAGACCTAAAGGCCAAACAAATGCTAAACGAGTAGCACCTGGGATTGATATTCTAAATAGGTATCGATCACCTGGAAAGACCCAAGTGAATCACTAGCCCAACCCCCAACAAAGAGAACCTATCCCACATTCCAATCCCCAACAGGAAAAGACCCTGTCCCATATATAATCCCATTGGTTGACCATAGTTTTGTCCCACCTCCTGCCCACCTAAGCGAGTTCTCATTCTCTCTACCTTAGCCTCACATGGTTTTACACTATAAAGGTCCCTGGAAGAGGCAGCTTCCCGGGGAACTACCCGCTTGGGCCCCCCACCTGTCCCTGTCTTGGACAGGAGCTTTCTTTCTCTCAATAAATATATTCTGCTCATAAAAATAAAATAAATATAGCAACATAGAAAACAATTTATAGTAATAGCACAAAGACAAGTGGATATAAACTTTTAGCATTTCAATTTTAGGCACTTTTGAGAGTTCAGTGAACTTTATTAATAATTGTTCTTAAATAACAAAAACCAGAACAGTTTAGTGCAAAGTGAGTTGTATAGTTTCCCTGACCAAAAACTATTAGAAATCTGATTATGAAAAATAGTGTTAGTTTTTTTAATTTCAGAGAAAAAAAGTAGAATACATTTTAAGTGGTATATTTGTAAAGAGCGCGAACTAAGAGAATGACCCTCTTTCGGGTCCTCCTTTCCAAGATGACGAAAAAAAGGAACAACGGTTGTGCCAAAAAGGGCTGCTGCAGTCATGTGCAGCCTATTTGCTGCACGAACTGCACCCAGTCCATATCCAAGGATAAGGCTATTAAGAAGTTTGTCATTTGGAACATAGTGGAGGCCGCCGCCGTCAGGGACATTTTCGTAGCGAGTGTCTTCGACGGTTATGTGCTTCCCAAGCTGTATGTGAAGCTGCATTATTGTGTGAGTTGTGCTATTCACAGCAAAGTGGTCAGAAATCGATCTCGTAAAGCCTGTAAGGACCGAACTCCTCCACCTCGATTTAGACCTGCTGGTGCTGCCCCACGACCTCCACCACAGCCCATGTGAGGGGAGCTGGGTCTTACTGGACTGAAGAAAACTCTCTTGGGAAAGAAATAATAAATTGAATGTTATACTTTATACAGCATGTTGAGTGTACCTGCTAGAGGTGGGTTGGGTTAATTCAGCCTATCCAAGTTTAAGTTTGTACTCTGAAAATGAATAAAGAGGAACCTCTGGAAGGGGGGGGGTGGAGATAGAAAATGAAATTTATATACTTTTTCAAATAAAAAGCCTTTTTTTGGTGTTATCAATATATTATTTATATGGCTCTTTAAAATTGCCTCTTTAAGGAAAATAATCAGTGATGTATAAATGGGTCTGAGGAGAGTTATCTAGAGAGAAAAAATTCTCTCAGGCTTTCACAGAGAGCAAATTGGTCAAGCAATGGCTGTAGCTCATCCAGATGGCTAACACTGACAAAAGATCCACAAGGGGCTATACATTGTTTCAGGGTGAGAAACAGTCGGGTATTCACAGATGTCTCTGATTTATTTCACTTAAGAGTATGGTCTCAAGGTGCATCCAGAACCACACACTTGTGGATGAGGCATATATTGTTTCTTCTCAAAGTTTTGCCTACTAGTGAGTTCAGAATTCAGTGGTAAATGATCAAATTTATTTGTATTTTGGTGGTGATTTTCTGTTGTCCTTAACGTTTACATTGGTGTGATTGTTATTTTTTTATTTTTTTGTTAAGCAACAGTTGTCTCTTCTCTTTTCCTTATTTGTTCATTTATTTATTTGCATCAGTGTGGATGCAGAGGTATTCTGTAGGTTACCCCAAGATACAGGAATTTACATGTGGCTCATTGTCTGACTTTTGGTTATTTGGATTCTTTTAGATTGACTCTTTTGCCCTTTTGGTAGTCCTTCCCCTCCCACATCTGCCTTGGAGCACTTATTTACTTTCTGGCACTACAAGATTCTGTAATCTTATGTCACATATTTTCTGGAATTGATCACTTCTCCATGGAGATCAGATTTCTTTCATAGTTTTAATTAACACTTTCTGCTTTTTTTTTTAAATGTATTTAGTACAAGGTTACAGGGCCTTACTGCACAGATCAGACTCATAGTGATCCTCCTGTTTTCAGCCTCATAAGTGCTGGGATTACAGGTGAGCGCCACCACACCCAGTCTTAATCACAGTCTTTACATCCCCTGTGGGTGGGGCCAGCATGCAGGGGATCAAACCCCAGGTGCTGGGTCTGCCTAAGCAAGCGCTGTAATCTACTGAGCTATCTGGCTGGCCCCACTTTCTGCTTTTTAAAAGAAAAAATGGTTTGACTTCGGTTTATTAAGTATTCTAGATTTATGTGATTTCTTGTGTCATTTAATTGTGTCTATCCCCATGATTCAAAAACTTTGGTGCATCTTAAAATCAGTTGAGGAGGTTTTAAAATACCTAATCAAAATACCCAAGTTTTGTCCATACAAATTAAGTTAACATCTCCAAGGATGGAACCCCAAATCGATGTTCTTTCTCCCTTTTCCTTTTTATTTTTAGTTCTCTTCTTTTCTCCTTTCTCTCCTTTCTTTTTATTCCTGAAGGCCAAACCCAGGATCTCATACATGCCAAGCAGGCGCTCTGCTATGAGCTGCATTTCAAGTCAGTAGTTTTTAAACCTTCATGAGTATTTTTAGTATGCAGCAAAACTTAAAAATCACTGCTGTGTGTCCAACTGCTGCCCTTTTTCTGTACCATTAGTAGAAATCTAGAATAGAGGCTTATATATATTCAAATTTGTCCTGTTTTTGCTTTGTTACATGTCATGAAGACTAATCATAGGTTTCAGCTCTCCTTTGATGTCAGTAGTCTTGTCTTCCATTTGGTATTACATCATCCCTAATTTGTTTTCCATTACTACTGAATCCTGTTTTATTTTTCTTGCTACTTTGTGGCAATATCCATGAATATTATA